AAACTAGATCATCGTGATTTCGATGACTTTGTTCTTTTCTTGAATCATTGATATCGAATTGATATCGGACAACTCCTAAACGGGTCGTACCTAGAATAATTGAATCAGGACTTTTCAGGCCAAAATATCCGTCTCTGGCACTAAGTCTAATTGAATCACGTAGATATTTCCTCACTCACTGTATGAGACCCCCGTCAAGCTTTGTAGTATAGCATGCCAGCATATTGCTCAGTCCGAATAATTCCCATTCCCCCAGAATGTAGATGTGGTTTACATCCGAAATTACTCGCCTCAAAATAGATATTGTACACACGCCAACGCATTATTTTACGTACCACATAAAAGCGTCACGTGTCTAATATGAAATGTGCATTTACATTCGGCCTGTGCGGGCCAAACTTCTGTTGCCATTCCAAATTCAAACGTCCCGTTTTCTGTGGCAAAGTGCAAAACCAATCCCCCTGTTTCGAGAGGGGTCCGAGTTTTCTGGTGTATAAACGCATAGCCAAAATTTACTGGCCACAGTAATTTATCAGAGGCCAGACCAGACGGCTTGCTGATTGTGCGAGAATTTTGTAACGTATTGCAATGCGATTGTTGATTTAGAGCTGACGTTTAAAAGCTTCCATCTGCGATGTATGCGGGTCTCAATTGCTACCATAAAGAAAGTTTCTTTTTTTCGTCTGATGAAGCTATAAATTTTCCTATATTGGGTTGTTTGATATCACGTGCACATCTGTCAGAACTCGATGGCTTTCATCTGACAAATCATGGGGAATATTTTATCGGCTTTATCGACGCGCCGTTTCGCCGTTTCGACGTTGGAACCCTAGTGGAAAATCCAAAAATTATAACGTTACATACCTGATCAGAATCTGATATCATAACTTGATCGGTGTCTGATCAAGACCTGACCAAAATTTAACCCGGGATGACTTCCAGAATACGTCACACCCCCACCCAACTCCCCGAAACTTTGCCACCCCTCCCCCTCCCTAATTAATCAATTTCGCCCCGGCAAGTCTCCCTTACACTTCAACCCACTCCCCGAAAATCCCGTCAACTCCCTTGCCACCAATAATACCCGTCACAAGTAATAATAAAACCTAATAGTCCATAAACCCCAGCATTAAACCGCCCCCCGCTCCCTCCGCAAACTTTTCACTCCCTCAATTAGGTCACCGCGTACCCAAAATAGGAGTCACCAAGTTTGACATCAGGCGACGCTCTCCACTGTTCCCGGTGAATGCCTCAGGCCTCTACTCGTCACACCAGACGCATGCCTTCCGGCGATCCCTCTTAGCGAGCGAGAGGGACACACATCTCCAAAATCTCTAGGTAAGTGCGAACGTTTAAGTGGCACCGTACACTCAGAACCAAATTTCCATTGGTTACCCACCATCCAGAGCCCTTCATTCCTCCAACCCTTCATTCCTCTTTTCATCCGACGTTGCATAACGCCATTTGCCATTGTATGACTCAGTGCATGTGTCGAGGAGCTGAATCGGGGGAGGAAGGAATGCCATTTCACTGCCCTACATCCTCCGCGCAAACTCTCCCTCCCTCTCGCCTTTTTTTTCCTGTCACCCCTCATACAACCCATAGTACACACTTTCCACCCTCTCATCCCTCCGCCCCGCCGTTTCCATTCGCACTATCCTTACATCGCCTGGCATTCGGCCCCGTTTATACCTCCGTGTGGTGCATTTTGAGACGTCTCTTAGGCACTATAACCCCCCCCCCCCCCTCAAATGTAAAGAGGATGTTGAAGGGGCCCAAGGGGCGGGGAGGGGCTGGGGGAGGGGGAGGGGTATAGGGGCGTTGAAGTAGGGAAAATATTCAACGTGATCTTTTACGTCGAGAGGCAATTTGTGGAATTCTCCTCCTGGAGAAATTCGCAGGGTCGAAATTATAGACATCTTCAGTGTTCTCACACCTGTGGACAAATTCAAGGCAACAATTTTCAGGACAGCGACACTGAATGGGATTGAGGGGAAAAAATCATGAAATTTCAGGCTTCACTGAGAATTCAGTAAAATTCCAGAATTTTAAGCAGCATGCAGACGAGTAATTCTTAATGTCTTTGAATTTCCAATCTAAGATTAATGTTCAGTGCCAAATTGTTATACATTGAACTTTCAGTGAAATCTGAAATTTCATTATTTTTTACCCCTAAATCGCATTCAGTGTCATTGTCCTGGAAATGCAGATTGAGAGCACCAGTGAAAGCTGTGTTAATATGTTAAAACCATTTTAGTGATGAAGTACGAAGAGGAGTCTTGAAAAGTGCATGGAGAGAAATATTCAAGAAACATTACGGAACATTTCACGTAATCCGCAAGCGAGAGTCGTTTTCAGTGAATTTCTATAGGAATATAAGAGAATAAATCTGAAACGTTCAGTAAATTTTCGGGTCTGTCACCGAAAAAATACGAAAAAGTCACGTAATTTCTCTGGAAGTTGTAAAATCTAACAGAAACTTCAAGACTTATTATGCCTCAGAACATGAAAATTCTTGGATTTACTAAGAATTTTTACGAAAAGTTCCGGAAAAATTACGGAACGTGTTGTTAAAATCTCCCCCTCACGGTGACTCATGGCTAGCCGTGAGGCGTCGGACGGATGAGTAATTTTTACAGAACAGATCGTAGAATTTACGTGACGATTGACACTTTTTATTGAATTTTACTTCGCTCCCAGATTACGTTTCGAAACGTAATTTTTACGTCTTTTTTCTGGTAATTTTTATTGAATATTTCTCTCCGTGTAAGCTTTGTTCTTAAGGATGTTTAGAACATCCGAAACCCACATTATTCACCATAATTTTAATATTGTCTCGTATGCCAGGTTCACATTTCAGCCACACGTGGGTAATAATCTTAATCCTTCCATCAGAGCATCCTAGTGAGAAATTAATGTTTGGAAATCACTTTTTGTAACATTACGCTTAGGGAAGAAACGTGACCGTGTGAACTTTGATCGAGATGTCGCATGGGTTAGACACTCAATATATTGAAAAAAAACCACAAGCCATTTACTTTAGACTATGGAGAATCCATCGCCGGCGAAAACAAGTAGGGGACCGGGCCATATAGGCGTGATATCTTCGATTGATTTTCGAATTCCTCTAAAAAAAATTTGACCGCCATCACGAGTCGAGCAACGCGACAACACCGCACAACAGCTGATCGAGGTCGGTAAAGTCGGTGACGATAATTCAGTGCTGGAAGCATATGGACACGTATAACACACACAAACATTCATCTCACTGTTACAACCCCACTACTAGCCGAAGCGTGCGATGTTGCCCGATCAAAATTCGACTGTTACCACTGCAGTCACAAGTCCTCCATTATCTATGAACATTTTCTTTAATTATTGTTTTTGCGACCGGAAAAGTACGCCGTAACACCTGCAATTTGATGAGAAAAATCATTTGTAACATGAATGATTTAATTAGTCAATTTTATTTTTATTCTCAACTGAGTTGTCCACTTGATAGGTTATACATCCTTAAAATATGGTTTTGAACTTTTGCAACCGTAACCTTAAGAAACTTGAATATTCTACGACATTGATAAAATACTTTAGTCAATCAATCAATCTCTCTTTCTTTTTTTCCGTCACCCTTCGTACAACTCATACGACACGTTTTTCCACGCCCTCACCGCTCCCCTTTTTCTTCTTCTCTACCCTTGCATCACTTGGTGCGATCGGCCCCGTTTATACCTCCGTGGGGCGCATTTTGAGACGTCTCTTAGGCACTGCAACCCCCCAATGCAAAGAGGATGGCGAAAGGCCTGAGGGGCAAGCGGGGAGGGGCATATGAGCGTTGAAATAGGCAAAATATTCAACGTCATCTTTTTTTTTGCTAAACTACTTTTTATGGGAGACGCATGCACTTTTCGGAGGTACAAAATCGGGTCGCAATCCTCGGGTGCTTGCTGCGAGTGCGGCCGGCGGGGGAGGGGGAGGAGAAGGAGGAGGAGGAGGAGGAGGATTTCCGTCGATTTCTCGACGTCGAGAATATTCCTGACGAGGTCCCGAGTGCATTGCCGAGTGTTTTTGTTGGCTGAGGTTTTTTGGGCTTTGTTGAGAGCTTTCGAGATTTACACGTTTGTTGAGGTTCTGCTGGATGGTTGTACGACGCTTTTCTTGCTTGGAGGAAGGATGAGGGCCTTTGTCATTTGTTGTTGCACTGTTAAAAATTTTCGTCTCAATTTTCCGTGTTGAATCCCGGAAATTTTTATCGTGTTTATTTCCTGTGAAATTTCTGAATATCTAGTGATTAAAAAATCAAATGTTCCGTTGATTTTCTGTTCGAATGATTTGAAAGTTCGGAAAAATCCGGAAAATTCAGAGGAAAAGTGAAAATTCGTGGAATTTTGGTTCTAAGTATTCATGTTCCATTGAAAATTCAGTCAACTCGTGAAATTTCTGTCTCACTGCCACTGAAAACTTATGAATTTCCGGGAATTCTACCTGAAACTTGAAATTTCGTGACCATTTTTCCGCTAAAATGGACTCAATGTCACGCTTATGAGAATTACTATCACATTTTCCATGAAATTTCGAAAAATTTCTGAGTGTGCATAGTTTTCTGCTGTTGAGGTTAAAAAATTACCTAGAAAATCGTCGAAAATTTTACTGCAGGAAAGGTAATCGTGGAGCGAAACGTAATTCACTGCAAAAATACCTGTATGTGGAGGATATTTTTTATGACAGTGAATAGAGGTGAAATTTTACCGAAAGTGTTCGTAAAAAATCATTGCAGAGTAAATTTTACAATTTTGGCACGAATGACCCTCACGTTGAGAAAATTTTGAAATAAGACTGGCCGAAATTCTCCACTATTCGTCAAAAGCCTGCTGTGCCCTAAAAGCCTCGTCACTCTCAAGCTTGAGCTCCGAATCCTCCATATACTTAGTATAATCGACTGCAATCAGTCCTAAGGAAAGAATTCCAATCTCATTGTTGAATTCTTTATGAAATAATTCTATTCCTCCCAGTGGAGATGGCGGATGCGATACAGCTGGTAATGCATCGAAGTACGGTAATGTAACTAGTCCTGGGAGTCCCACGTGACGACTAGCGTCAATCTCAATATACTTATTTGATTGTGATTCATCGGCCGACCTTTGCTGCCTACCATATGTCATTTTCTCTCTGGAATGCGTAAAAATGTAGTTTACTATCTTCAAAAATTATCCGTCAAACTCTATTGTATCATTAACCCTATCAACGTACCTGTACGCTACGTTGGATGTAATAGTCTTCACTCCACAATGACCCAATAATTTTCCAGTGGGATGATAGAATCTCCTTGCTATTAGCGAAATAGCTATCCGTTTCGGAGAAGCTGCTTCTTTCGACAAAGTGAGTTGTACCCCTGAACGACAAGTACAACACATGAGCATATATCAACATATATCTCATTATATTGTAGAAATCCAAATCGACTTCTGATGATGAAAATTTGGTACTCGAAATTAAGACTTCGAAATTAAGGGTCACAAGGGTCATGAGGGTCAGATTAAGAGTCCAATAAGGGCCACAAGAGTCAGATTAAGGGTTATATAGGTCAGATTAAGGGTCGCAAGAGCTAGATTAAGGGCCCAAATAGGGGTGAAAAAGGACAGATTAAGGGTCGGAAGGGTCAAATTAAGAGCGCAAATCAAGGTAAGAAAGGTCAGATTGAGGGTCTAAATAAGTGTCAGAATAAGGATCACAAAGGACAGATTAAAAGTCTAAATAACGGTCACGGGGGTCAAAATAAGCGTCACAAGAATCAGATTAAGGGTCAGAATAAGGATCCACATAAGGGCCACAAAGCCAGATTAAGGGTCGCAAGATTAAGGGTCACAAGGATGAGATTAAGGGCTTAAATGAGGGTAACAAAGGTCAGGTTAAGTGTCTAAATAAGTGTCACAAGGATTGGATGAAGGGTCACAAGGGTCAGATACAACTGCTGAATTTCGTCTCCTTTCAACAATTCAATCAATCGGAAATCAGAAAAGCCATTGAACTCGACACAATCCAAGGCAAGAGAAATCGTAAGAATTTTGCGACTCGAACACGGAGAGAAATATTCCATAAAAATTACGTATCTTTTTCGTAATTCCGGAGCGTAATGTGGTTGTAGGAAATTTTACGGAACTGTCACGGAATTTTTCCAGAGCGTTCTGTAATTTTTATCTGAATCTCCTGTGAAAAATTACGGTACCGTCACTAAAATTTTCTGAGTCGATTCCGTAATCGGTGAGTGAATTGTGAGTTCCGTAATTTTTACTGAACATTTCTCTCAGTGAAAGGGTTTAGAATTACAAATAAATCAATCGTGCACTCTACAATGAACACGGTAGAACAAGAGATAGAAATTCTCTCGGAAAGAGCTTTCAATTTTCATCATTTCTCCCTTTTTTTTGCTATCAACTTGTTTTTTTTCCTTCATGTCTCCTTTTACCAAACGGAAATGAGAGATGGAATAAAGAAGGTAGAGCTGGTTGGAGCGAAATTGGTTGAAATGGGAGGTAAAAAGGAGAGTATTTTTCGATACAAGAGTTTCTTGCTCGATGCGGTGAGACAAGTGGTTGGAAAAGAGAAGCTTACGTGCTTGAAATTGGTATATATCTGCGTTCTTCCGTGGAACGAGGGATGGGGCGAGTGGAGGTGAAGGGTATCGATATAAGGAGTGCATAGAGCGGGGCCCGTAGAAGAGGGATAATGCCAAGTTATCAGTTCCGTTTGAAGTTTTTAAACGATGGAAGTCCCTCCTATGAGGGTACTTTTATCTTCCTCCGGTGGTTTCTTCCACTTTTCAACATTTTTCACTCCTCATTTCACTCTAAATATTTTTCAGAGACTCCGAGAAACTGGGGAAAACTCCTTATGCAGGGATTTTCGTGGAAAATTGTGCCCAGTTTGGGAGAGAGAAGTTTTCTTTTTTTTGCAGAGAATTTAATTTCCATTTTTGCTGCCGAATGGAAGCTTTGTAAGGGCTCAAATTTACACGGAGAAAATTATTTGATGAATTTCACTAACTAGTTGGTGAAATTTTTCTCGATTTCTACACTGATAGAATGATTCATTTATTCCAAACGAGATTCGTTAACTATTAACGAATGGTAGAGTTGAATATGACCAAATGAATATTCGTTAATAGTTAACGAATGGTTCACTTGAATGGCGAAAGTCATTTCAATCAAGGCTCCTCAAATATACATTCGTTAACGAATGAACATTTGGTGAGACCGAATAGGCCCTAACCTTCAACCAAAATCCATTCGTTAACAATAACTAATCCGCTCTATCAGTGTAAATATTCCCGTGTATGATATATCAGTGCACATACCTCGGCACCTTCGAGGAATAGATCAAGCAGATTTGGATGCAGACTGTACCTCGGAAACAGGATATCGATTACTGCATCAACTTTTTTTCTCAACTTGTCAGTATACAATTGTTGCGTCGCGAAGAGACACAAATCAGCGATTGGCCCTGGTTCATCATCTAATAACACTTTTTCTTTAAAACTATTGAAGGTGGAATCAAGGCCGTGAATTTTATCAAGTAGATGGAGGAGAATGAGATCCTTTTTGATTGTTCCTCCCGTGGAATCCATGAGCAGGTTCATTGCAACTTGTCGGGTATGTCCGAGGTAATGCCATACTTCTATCAAGTTGTTTGAATCGTCTGTAAGGCCCATCAGTTCGATTGAAGTGTCGGAGAGGTAATCCCAAATGTTTCCACTCCATTGTAGGATAGTTTCTGGCAGTAATGTTGGTAGAAGTATTTCACTCACTGTTAATTGAATCAACAACGGAAATATTGCAGCGGAGAGTTCCTTCCTGATTTTCATTTCAGCAACTCCTGTTTCGGCTTAAGATGCAAAAGTGCTACATAGAAATGCAATTGTAGGAATGCAACAGCAATATTTATACGGAAACTATTGTGTGAAATTATCGTTCATATAGTGTGAGTCTTGAGGAAAATTTTCAATTTTTTTATCTGTCACCTTCTCGATTTTATGGCCCAATGTCCAACCAGTTATCTCCATGTAACGCTCTCTATACCGTAGGATTTTTTTATAGCTTCCTTGATATGCACGTGGTAGGGAAGTGGAGATGATAAGACAATGAAAAATGACACACATAAAATTTTGAAAATTTTGATGTCCTTCGGAAGGAGTTTATTGAAGAGATAATATGTGCTGCCACTTTTGATGGACCTCCACGGAGAACAAAATTCCAGAATTTTTCTGGAGAAATTCAGGCAAAAAACTGCTAGCACGGGAAAAGAGGCGCAATGTGACAGCCAAAAAAAAATTCCAGTGCCGGCACTAGAAATTTTATTGGAGAAAACGTGAATTTATTCCCGTATTTCTGTGAAAATTTCACAGAAATCCCCAGAAATTTCACCAGAAATACCAAGAAATTTTACCTCAACAGCACTAGAATTTTTCATAGCTGGTCGATTGTAATTTTTTCCAGTATTCGTACTAGAATTTTTCTAGAAAATCTCTCTCCGTGTAGAGTATCGAAATGAGACCCAAAAAGGGAACTCAAATGGCCTTAGAAAATTTTAAAAAATTCAAACGTTTTTTAGTGCACGGAGAGAAATATTCAGTAAAAATTACGGAACCCACAATTCACTCACCGATTACGGAATCGACTCAGAAAATTTAAGTGACGGTATCGTAATTTTTCACAGGAGATTCAGATAAAAATTACGGAACGCTCCGAAAAAATTCCGTGACAGTTCCGTAAAATTTCCTACACCCATATTTCGATCCGGAATTACGGAAAAGACTGCTAGCACGGGAAAAGAGGCGCAAAGTGACGGCCAGGAAAAAATTTCAGTGCCGACACTAGAAATTTTATTGGAGAAAACGTGAATTTATTCCCGTATTTCTGTGAAAATTTCACAGAAATCCCCAGAAATTTCACCAGAAATACCAAGAAATTTTACCTCAACAGCACTAGAATTTTTCACAGCCGGTCGATTGTAATTTTTTCCAGTATTCGTACTAGAATTCTTCTAGAAAATCTCTCTCCGTGTAGAGTGTCAAAATGAGACTCGAAAAGGGAACTCAAATGGCCTTAGAAAATTTTAAAAAATTCAAACGTTTTTTAGTGCACGGAGAGAAATATTCAGTAAAAATTACGGAACCCACAATTCACTCACCGATTACGGAATCGACTCAGAAAATTTAAGTGACGGTATCGTAATTTTTCACAGGAGATTCAGATAAAAATTACGGAACGCTCCGAAAAAATTCCGTGACAGTTCCGTAAAATTTCCTACACCCATATTTCGATCCGGAATTACGGAAAAGACTGCTAGCACGGGAAAAGAGGCGCAAAGTGACGGCCAGGAAAAAATTTCAGTGCCGACACTAGAAATTTTATTGGAGAAAACGTGAATTTATTCCCGTATTTCTGTGAAAATTTCACAGAAATCCCCAGAAATTTCACCAGAAATACCAAGAAATTTTACCTCAACAGCACTAGAATTTTTCACAGCCGGTCGATTGTAATTTTTTCCAGTATTCGTACTAGAATTCTTCTAGAAAATCTCTCTCCGTGTAGAGTGTCAAAATGAGACTCGAAAAGGGAACTCAAATGGCCTTAGAAAATTTTAAAAAATTCAAACGTTTTTTAGTGCACGGAGAGAAATATTCAGTAAAAATTACGGAACCCACAATTCACTCACCGATTACGGAATCGACTCAGAAAATTTAAGTGACGGTATCGTAATTTTTCACAGGAGATTCAGATAAAAATTACGGAACGCTCCGAAAAAATTCCGTGACAGTTCCGTAAAATTTCCTACACTCACATTTCGCTCCGGAATTACGGAAAAAATACGTAATTTTTATTGAATATTTCTCTCCGTGTATCTGAAAAATGTCTACAAAAGGTGTGTGAAATTCGGACATTCGTTCAAATGTTCTGCGCACGATTCGGCGGTGAGTTTTCAGCTTCACGATTGGAGTTTTTTTATTTTAGTGTTTTTTCAGGGTTTGAGGGGCGGTGAACCAGAGGAAGGGGGAGGGTCTGCTTTGGCGCTTAGAAATCGATGAATTAATGCGTTTATCGGGTATGAGAGCATGCGACGTTGGAATGTGCCTATCAAATCTATGGAAATTGGGTCTCGGGGTGAAAATTCTGGCTCCAGAGGTGGAATATTGAAAAAATAGGGATTCATTCCTTCCGGTAATTATCGGATATTCGAGGGTGGGATTGTAAAGGGGTGAGTTTATGAGTTTTGATGGATTGTTTTATTGATTATCAACGGGATTTAGGGATTTTCATTTTTTCTTCTCTCATGCACGGGAATATATTGGGGTAGCGCAGGGTGAGATGAACCAATAGCTGCGGACCGTGTGATATAATTGTTATTTAATTAATCTCATTTTGCCACACTGCACGTGAGAGACGTGAGGGTTGACGATAAAATGAAACATATCTCTTGCTATTTAATATTGGAAGAATTCTGTTGTGCCTTTGGCGATGAAATTGCCTCGACTTGGTATTTGATTTAAGGGGAAACCGTCAATGGAATTTCACGTTTCTCTGAAAGTTCAAGTAGTCTCATTTTTTTGCGGCAGGAAAACGGAAATTCGACAATTTACTTAAATTTTCAAGTGAAAATGAATATTCACTGGCAAATTCCCTTGAAATTCCCAGAATTCCCTGAAAATTCAGAGGAATCTGGAATTTAAGGAGAGAGTTCTCTGAATTTTCCTGACTTTTCAGTAATTTCTCCGCGATAATTAAATTGAAATTTACAGTTCTCATCGATTTTTCCCTGAAATTGTGAATTTTCAATGACAAAATTCCTCGAAATTTCAGTGGAAAATCGTTAACAGTGTAAGGAACTTCCGCAGTAAGTATACGGGAGTAGAAGGAAATGGACGGCAGAGCTGACATTTTGAGAATATATTCTTTGAGTGATTAAAATATCCTCCCGACGTCCCAAAACGCTGAACCACGTAGATTGTTGAGGAGAAAATATGAAAAATGTGTCATCAACGCAGAGTCTTATGGCACCACTTTTTGAAAAGTCACAAAAAAATAATCGACAGTGGAATAAAAATCCAAACGCTTCACGAATAGAACCGTAAATATTTCAGGAACATATCCCCACAATTTCATTAGCCGTCACCGCAGGGATTATTTGTAATTATTGAAAATGTATGGCATAGTTCGGGACTTTAGTTACGTTAGAGGAAACTGATGGCTGAACATGTCAACGTTGAGGGAGGTTAGAGTGCGCGCGGCGGAGGCCATCGTGTGAACCCCGCCAAGGCATATACTATAGATTCTATAGTACAGTATAGGATTTTATCGGGACACAAGAATACCAACTGTGTCGAACAAAAATGCGTGGTTGTCAAATCTCATGAAAATTTCTATTTGTTAAAAAATTCGGACAAATAATACTTCGGAATAAAAATTATTTGGTATTGATTAATCATGAATAATAAGTGCAAAGAAACCCAAGCGACGGAATTTCAATTCACCCGTGAACTTTTCGTCATTTCATTATTTTTTTTTCAAAGGATGCAGCGGAGTGTCGGAACCTTTGATATTTTGCCCCACTCCATAGCCCCAAAATTTGCGGCGGCTGTTGCTTAAAACCAAAACAGTTATTACGAATTGACTGGATGAGAGTCATATTAAATGCACCTGTATCTGCGGGAATCTGTATTTTATCCAGTGAACCCTGAATTTCATGTGCACCCTATCCCTCGTTTTCCACCTCTCTATGCAGCATTAAGCCCCTTCTTTTATTCCTCCGAAGAGTGTACCTGTCTCGAATGTACACTGTAACTGGGCATGGTTAGCGTCCGTGGAATTTTATGCTCACGAGAGGACCTTCGATTTTCCCTCGGCTGGTCAAAGGGGCAGTTCACCGACCCTCCGTAACAATCGAGAGTATATTGACTGGAAAAATTCTTCAGATATTCCACGGACCTTGGCGACTGTATTATTTGCATCAACTATTTTCATTTCGCCTCATTGGAAAACGATCATAAACGGAGTCACTCCGTAATATTCTTGCTTATGCATGGATGAGTAGAAATTGAATCAAGTTTAGTCTATTCAATTTTCCAATTTTCTGTCTTATTCGTCACGATTCTCCACGCATTTTTAAATCACTGAAAGAATAACAATGTTTTCTTCCAGTTCCTGTCAAGAATGAGAATTGAAAGGAAACATTTTCTTCTGAATTTATTTTTTCTTACGAATAATGTTTTCATCAATTATTCTTTACGAAAACATTTCTTCTGTTTTTCAAGGAGTTTTCATTTCCGGTGTTTTATTTATTTATTGTATTAACCTACAGTGCGTTATTTACATTCACTTAAGGGGAGACTACTATGAGTTTTGAAAGTCGTGGGTTATTGGAGTGAGACTTTTCATAGGTTGAAGATCGATTATATAGCTCTGAAAACGAATAATTGGTGCAAAAAAAATTTTTTTTTATTGTTCGTTTGCCCGAAAACGCTTAAAATGCCAAAAACAGTCCAGGGCCTCCAATTTTTGAGCTACACGGAGAGAAATTTTTGATTAAAATTACCCTACCGTTCTATAAAAGTGTATCATGAGTCATCGTTTCTTCATTTCTACCCCGAAATTTAGTAAAAATTAATATAGGATGATCAAATTTTATTCTACGTTAGAGAAATTTTATCCTGATAAAAATAAAAATTACCGTGCCGGTAGAGTAAAAATTACTGTACCGCTAGAGTAAAATTTACCAACCGTTCTAGAATTTTCGTTGTTATCTGCATAAAAATTACTGGACTGGAAGGGTAAAATTTATTATGCGTTAGGATAAAATTTCTCTCTTAGTTATGAAACCAATAATGACACCTCTCGTTTG